TGCATGAAGTCCTCAGCTGCAGATAACAGCAGCAGCTTTCAGGCACTCACCCCCAGGCCCTTGTCCTACTCCAAGGTTTCACATCACAAGCTATGGATTCAGTTTTAAAAGCTGCTGTGGATGGGAGGTGCTGCAGCCGTGGCACACGCAGGCTTGTGGCCACTCACCTGGCCTGGAGCATCCCAGGACGGAGATGGAAGGAGAGTTACTGATGGAATCATGGAATGCTTTGAGTTGAAAAAGCTCATCCAGTTCCAACCCCCCGCCACGGGCAGGGACACCTCACTCCAGACCACGTCACCCAAGGCTCTGTCCTGGAACACTGCACAATGCCACCCCAAAAGCCATTTTTAAGGCTTCTGAAGGGAAATCTGGTTCCAAGACAAGGTGAAAGTTCTTAAGACCTTAACCCCCCCCCCCCGAGGATCCTCACCCTGCTTTAGAGAACACACCTGCCACAGGCTTGGCTTTCCCACCCACTTCACCCATTCAAACCCTGCCTTACTACTTGAAACCTCAAGGAAAAGGCACCTCCCTGAGCAGGGAACTTCAATTTCAGGCTCATCCAAAGCAACAAGAAAAGGCTGCTACTACTGAAGTGCCTTTTGAAGGGCAATGCTCAGTTATGACTTATCTGTAGCTCTCTGAGAGTGCTGTCTGCAGCCCTGTGTCCACTATGGGGGCGACAGCATGAGAGGGACGTGGAGCTGTTGGATGGAGCTGCTGCGAGGGCTGGAGCAGCTCTGCTCTGGAGCCAGGCTGAGAGAGCTGGGCTGGGGCAGCCTGGAGAAGAGAAGGCTCCTGAAGGGGAGACCTTAGAGCAGCCCAAAAGGGCTGCAGGAAACCTGGAGAGGGGCTTGGGACAAGGGCCTGTAGGGACAGGCCAAGGGGAATGGCTTGAACCTGCTCTAAACTCTTACAGGCTCCAGAACAGGCTCGCAGGGCACTGACAGCGCCACGGACCCTTTAAGGCAGCACCAACCGGGGCAGCTCCTTCCCCCAGCGCAGCCCCGAAGCCCTTCTCCTCGGTGCCTGCAGCGCAAACAACCCCCGTGCCTCAGCGCTGAACCCCCCGCTCTCCGAGCCCGAGCCGTTACCGCTCAGAGCAGCCAACGACCCCCGCCCCGCGGCCCGGCTACCGGGCTGGGACCACCCCGGGCCCTCCGGTGAGCCCCACGGGCTCCGAGAGCCCTTCCCAGCGCAGGCCGCGCCGTGCCGGGATGATTCAGCGGCGGCAGCGGCCGGGCCCGCACTCCGCGCCCCGCCACTCGGGCCCGCCGCCGCTGAGAGGACGCGGCCGGAGCCCCGCTGCGGGTGCTGGGGCTCACAGGACGCGCTGCCTGCCTGCCTGCCTGCCCGCCGGCCAGCCGGCCCTCCCTCCCTCCCTCCTTCTGCCGGCGCCGTGGCCACTGCCGTCTCCTCCCGGTGCCCCCCAGCCCCGCTCCCCAAGCCCCGGCCGCTGCCCGCGCTCACCCATCGCGGCTCCTGCGGCGGCGGCTCCCGAGCGGCGGCGGCCACAATATGGCGGCGCCGGCAGACGGAGGGCGACGGGCACGGACGGCGGCCGCGGCGGGGCAAACCTCCTCAGCGCGCGGACGGGGCGGGGCCGGGCCGCTCCTTCCCGCACCACCCGCTGCGTTCCAGTGCCCCCTAGCGGCGGCCGTGGAATCCGTGTCCGGTCCCGCCGTGCCCCCCGTGCCCCCCGTGCCCCCCCGAGCCCCCCCGCTCCCCACGCTCGCAAGGCGCGTTCCGAGCACAGGAACACACAAACAAGTCGGTTTATTACAAACGCCGCTCCCCGTGCGTGGCCTCGGCATCCCTCAGGAAGTGCGGGGCCGCCCCCTGCCGCCCATCGCGATGAACAGGTCAACGGGGACGCTGGGCAGCGTCAGGCAGTGGCTGCCGGGGCATCGCCGCAGCTGCCTGCGGGAGAGAGTGGAGTGAGGCGGGGGGCAATGCACGGTGCAGGCTGCTACGGCACAGCTGGCATGGTACAGCATGGTACAACATGGTACAACATGGTACAGCACAGCACTATGTGCCCCTCTAACTTTGCTCTCATGAGACCCCACTTGCAGCACTTGGTGCAGTTCTGGTGTCTTCAGCACAAGGGCATGGAGCTGTTCGAGCAAGTCCAGAGGAGGGACGTGAGGATGCTCAGGGGCTGGAGCAGCTCCTGTATGGAGCCAGGCTGAGAAAGTTGGGGCTGTTCAGCCTGGAGAAGAGAAGCTGTGTGGAGACCTGAGAGCAGCTTCCAGTGTCTGAAGAGGGATACAAGGATGCTGGAGAGGGACTCTTCATTAGGGACTGGAGTGATAGGACAAGAGGTGATGGGTTCCAGCTGAAACAGGGGAAGTTCAGGTTGGAGATAAAGCAGAAGCTCCTCCCTGTGAGGGTGCTGAGGCGCTGGCACAGGGTGCCCAGAGAAGCTGTGGCTGCCCCATCCCTGGCAGTGTTCAAGGCCAGGTTGGACACAGGGGCTTGGAGAAAGCTGCTCCAGTGTGAGGGGTCCCTGCCTGTGGCAGGGCTTGGAGCTGGAGGAGCTTGAAGGCCCCTTCCAACCCAAGCCAGGCTGGGATCCCACCGTTCTGGCACAGCATGGCATTGTCTCACATGGCACGGCATGGTCTGACATGAGCCAGCACAGCGCCGCCTGGCCTGCCCTTGCACAGTGCAGCCCTGGCACAGTACAGCTCAGCACAACACATCAGAGGCCCCTGCCTGCCCCAGCAAAGCCCGTGGGCAGCAGCAGGCAGGGGAGCAGGGCTCAACCCCCCCATCCCAGACACGGAGGGGCTCAACGCACCCAGCAAAGCAAAGCAAAGCAAGGCGGTGCTGCTGGCAATGGGGCCACAGAGGGGCTGTGCCAGGGCCAAACCCTGCTCCCGCAGCACATCCTGCCCCCTCCTTACCTCCCCACTGACAGCTCAGGGCCCGGGGGCTCCTGCACCTCGGGGGGCACCTCTGAGCTGGGGCAATGACCGGCCTCGATGGGGAACCTCCGAGCCTGCAGCGCGCGCCGGGAGCTCATGGCTGGGGGAGAGCAGCAAGCGTTGGGACCCTCGCCAGCCCCGCAGCATCGCCCTGCCCAGCCCTGGGCTCCGGGTGAGGACGTCCCAGCCTGCACCCACCTCGCTGACCATTGGCGAGGGGACGTACTCCAAAGTGAAGGAGGCCTTTTCCCAAAGGCACCGCCAGAAAGTGGCCATTAAAATAATTGATAAGAAGGATGTGCCAGAAGGTAAGAGGTGACCCCGAAAGGGCTCCAAAGAGGCACTGTCCGTCCTCAGGGGCTTTGAATTCCCAGCAAAAACCTAGTTTCCCACGCTTGCCACCGGACAGCGGTTGGGCAACCATCCAGAGGGACCTTGACATGCTTGTGAGCTGGGCTGATGCCAACCTCATAAAGTTTAACCATGCCAAGCGCAAGGTCCTACACCTGGGTCGGGGCAATCCCAGACACAGCTACAGGCTGGGCAGAGAAGAGATTCAGAGCAGCCTGCGGAGAAGGACTTGGGGGTGCTGGTCGATGAGAAAATGAACATGAGCCAGGTTCAGTGTGCACTTGCAGCCCAGAAAGCAACCGTATCCTGGGCTGCATCAAAAGGAGCGTGACCAGCAGGTCGGAGGAGGTGATCCTGCCCCTTTGCTCTGCTCTCGTGAGACCTCCCCTGGAGCATTGTGTGCAGTTCTGGTGTCCTCAACATAAGAAGGACATGGATCTGTTGGAACAAGTCCAGAGGAGGCCACGAGGATGCTCAGGGGCTGGAGCAGCTCCTGTATGAAGACAGACTGAGAAAGCTGGGGCTGTTCAGCCTGGAGAAGAGAAGGCTGCGTGGAGACCTCAGAGCAGCTTCCAGTATCTGAAGGGGGCCATAGGGATGGTGGGGATGGACTCTTCATTAGGGACTGTAGTGATAGGACAAGGGGTAATGGGTTAAAACTTAAATAGGGGAAGTTTAGATTGGATATAAGGAGGAAACTCTTTCCTGTTAGGGTGGTGAGGCACTGGAATGGGTTGCCCAAGGAGGTTGTGAATGCTCCATCCCTGGCAGTGTTCAAGGCCAGGTTGGACGAGGCCTTGGGTGAGATGGTTTAGAGTGAGGTGTCCCTGCCCATGGCAGGGGGTTGGAACTGGATAATCTTAAGGTCCTTTCCAACCCTAACCATTCTATGCTTCTATGATTCTATGACTTGGTGCCCTTTAAGGTCTTTTCCAACCTGGTTGATCCCATGCTTCTCTTGCCAGAGTTTATCCACAGATTCCTGCCCTGGGAGCTCCAGATCACCACCCACTTGGAGCACAGGAATATCATCTGTGTGCACGAGGTGCTGCAGTGGGCGGGAGGGAAGCTGTGCATGGTGATGGAGCTGGCAGAGGACAGGGACCTCTTTGACTACCTGGTGCAGGAGGGGCCCCTGCCCGAGCCCCGCGCCAGGGCGCTCTTCCTGCAGCTGGTGGAGGCCATTCGGTACTGCCACAACCGTGGTGGCAAGGGAGCTTTAAAGCAGCAACCCACAGACCCTCCCGGGGCAGCTGTACCTATCTCGTCCCCATCCCATTCCCATCCCGAAGGCAAAGGAAGCTCTCAGCACAGGCAGAGGCTCTGTAGAATTCCTTTAATTGCTGTTAACTGCAAAAGGTTTGGAGAAAGTCATCGTTACAAAACTACCAGCTGTTAGAATTGCTCCTGGCTCTCACCCCAGCTACAAAAGGCTCAGGGAGAGGTGGGATACGTGATAACAGAGAATATTGCACAGACAACCCAATGGTTAATTGGACTAAAGAAGAGCAAACCAGAAGTGACACAGAGAGCACGGCCCGCTCAGAGCCCTGCTGCAGGGCAGGGATGCAGCCACCACTCACATCAAACCCGGGGAGCAGAGGCCTGAGCCTGCACCCACTGCTGGCACCCACCCATGGGCAGTTTTCCTGCTGCAGACACATTTGGGGCCAGGCACCACAGGCACTGCCAGCCCATGTAGCTCAGCTCCAGCCCTCAAAGGGTCTGCAGGACAAACGTGCTCTCATCTAAGTGCCCAAAGGCACTGCTGCCACCGATGCAATCCTTCGGGCAGCTGCGCCTCAGAATCAACCCTAAAGGGGAGAAAAAAACCCCAAACCAACCCCAAAACCCCGACTCTTCCAAGAGTACCTGGGTTAACGCTACCCTAAACCAGCAGGAAACCTTCCCTGCTTCCCTGCACCCAAGCAAGAAGCCAGGCAGGGCCCGTAACATTTTGGTGTAGAGAGCCCGGATGGAAGGGCTGGTTGCCAGCAGCTCCACGATCTCCCCTTTTTTCTCCTCCAGGTTAAACTGAGAGAGCCAGGCCTCAAGGAGCTCAGCAGGGCCTGCAAAGGGCAAGCACAGAGATATGAACCTTGGCATGGACAGGGCAGGAACAGCTTTGGGAAGTTTCACTGGGAAGATGCTACAGACCAGACTAGATGGGAGTGAGCAAGGGAAAAAGGAGGAGGGAGATGTGGGTCTCTGAGCCCGTTCACTGCCGTGGGTCCTGTGCCAGCAAGAGGCCATGCAGTGACCCAGCAAACTCTCAGTCTAAGCTAGTCCCCAGTGCAACAGACACATCTGCCCTCCATAAGCAGTGCTCCCTGTCCAGGCACTGAGAAAGGCTCTGAGCAGCCCTGTCATACCGTCAGGTTCATTGCAGTAGGTGGCTGGGTCTGACTGGAGGCTGTAGAGGCGAGCCTGGAGGAGAAGAGGCACAGAGCAGAGCTGTCAGCAATGCTGGGGTTGTAGATGAGCCCCCCGAGGACAAGGGTTGGGACTCCACATCCCAGAGGGAAGCTCTGGGAATGGGGCACTCACCTTGGCACTGTCACAGGGCTCGGTGGTGCCCGAGGGGGTTGCCATCAATGTTATGACATGGCAGTCAATGGTCTTATCCGGTGAGGGAGCAAATGTGTTTGAGATGACACCCAGGAAGCCAGAGATCCCCTTCCTCACCTTTTCAGTTGCACCTGAGGAACCTTCTGTCGTCTTGAAAAGAAAAGGCAGCACAGGGTAAGTATACAGAATCATAGAATGGTTTGGGTTGGAAAGGGCCTTAAAATCATCCAGTTCCAACCCCCTGCATGAGCAGGGACACCTCACACTAAACCAGGTCACCCAAGGCCTTGAACACCGCCAGGGATGGGGCAGCCTCAGCTTCTCTGGGCACCCTGTGCCAATGTTTCAGTACCCTCACAGTAAAGAGCTTCTCCTTATATCCAACCTGAGCTTCCCATTTCAGTTTGAAGCCATCACCCCTTGTCCTGTCACTCCAGTCCCTGATGAAGAGCCCCTCTCCAGCACCCTTGTACCCCCTTCAGACACTGGAAGCTGCTCTGAGGTCTCCACGCAGCTTCTCTTCTCCAGGCTGAACAGCCCCAATATTCTCAGCCTGGTTCCATACAGGAGCTGCTCCAGCCCCCAACCATCCGCATAACAGTGCCTGCAGCAGCAGGGCGAGTCTTGCTCTCCCCTGGGTAGCTTCCTTTAAGGGAGGAGGGTGTTCCTCCTGTCAAAAACTTGCTGACAAGGTGACCTGTGGCCAGGGCTGGGCTAAAAGGTTGGGGAGGGAGAGGGGCAGGCAGGCCTTAAAATAGGTATGTGGGGAACCAAGCCTGGGTTTTGCAGGAAGGATCAGGCAGGTCTGGGGACTGGTTTGTCACTGTGGCGGCTGGGCAGGGCTAACGGCAGCAGCCTGTGTGGAGGTCTGCTGCTGTGCTAGAGTGATGCTGCCACTATCCTGCTTATGTGGTGCACAGAGGAAGGGAAAGCACAGGGAACCTTCCTCCGCTCATCTCCAGATGTTCCTCACCACTACAGCAAGGAAATCCCACGCAGTGCTCAGCACCAAACCTGCACCAGGGAGAACATCTGAAACTTGAAGCTCATGGTTATATGGTGGGACTTACTCAGAGGACCTTGACCTTGGAGGTGGGTACATCCTATTGCCCCCCACTTTGCTTTCTGCAACAGGAATCCCAGCTCTTACACCCCTACTCACTGCCAGCTTGTCCTTGACCACGCTGGCTGTAGCAGCGATCGTGCAGGCTGCTTCATGCTGCACCACTTGAGTGAACTCAGCCAAGTCCCGCTTCATGAACTCCAAAGCTTCCGTGGACTGCAAGACAACAGAGATTGTGTAATCCTTCTGTGCTCCAGCAAAGCCACAGTTGCTCTGGGAACACCAGTCATGTCACACAGATTGAAGTGCCTTTAGCCCAACACCTGCAATGGGTAAGACTGCAATAACCTGAATAACAACAGGAACCTGCATGTCCAACACATGATGGAGGAGGATTAAATTAAGAATGCGAAAAGACATGTTAGGAAGAGCTTTGTTCCAAGTTTTGCATATAATTAACATAAGCACTGCTGTCACAGGCAGGAAATCACAGAATCCCAGCCTGCTTTGGGTTGGGAGGAACCTTAAAGCTCCTCCAGCTCCAAGCCCTGCACAGACAGGGACCCCTTCCACTGGAGCAGCTTCCTCCAAGCCCCTGTGTCCAACCTGGCCTTGAGCACTGCCAGGGATGGGGCATTGCAAAGCAGCACCTCACCCCTCATCTACCTGGGGAGCCAAAGCAGAGTCATCCTCTACTCCAAAGTAGTGCTCAATCAGGTCAAAGGCCTTCTGGTAGATCTCTTGGTTCTCATGGCTCTGGAGGAACTCTATCTTATCCAAACGTTGGAGGGAAAGAGAAATGGAATGTGATGAAAGGAGGGGATCCTGGTATTTGCAACCCCACATCCATCCTCCGCCCTTCCCCCGTTCACTGCAAGACCTCTGTCTGTGTTACATCTGGGCCTGGTGAGCAGCACCGACATCTAAAACTATTCCAGAGCTCCTTGTGGCTTTCCTATCAGGCAGCATTCATGTCTCTTAAATAGCCTGTTTCGCTGACACAGCTAAAGCAGCTGCACCCCCAGCTCTGCCGGGGACAAACCCACATTTCAGTGAGGTTAAACAAAGTGGCACAAGCAGTTGCTGGGGGTCTGGAGGGGAAGGAAGCAGTGCCTGCCCCAGTAGCCTCCAGTGGAAGGGCCGCAGCAGCTTTCCATGTCCTAACTAAACCCACCAAATTAAGCTGCTCCAGGGAAAAGCGAAGCCTCTCTGGATTTCCATGGAACATCCACCGTGTATAACTGGGTCCCGTTAGAGCAATTTTAGACCTAGAAGTGTCACTTTTTACTCAGCTCAGCTCGTTTCCGATTAATTCTGCTACAAGCCACAGTTACCAGCTCGGCTGCAGGGCTAGGAAGCATAGACCAGAAGTAGGATAGTTTTTACTTCCAACTATTTTGTCCTATGCCCAAACCCTAAGAGTCTGAAGACACCACTGGAACAAATCTTGGCTAGTTTGGGGTATACTAAATCCTTTAGCACAGCAGAAAAGCAACAACAGAACTAACAGACACCTTGTGTTGTTCAAAGCCAACAGCACCAAGGCCACAACCTACACCAGGCCTCCTCAATCAGACTGCAGTACGGGTTGATGCCTGTCCCACTCTGGTTGGCTTCCTGCTCTCCAAGCCTCAGGATGTTCTCCAGTCCGTTCAAGGCCACCTGCACAATCTTGGAGTCCATGACAGTCAGCAGGTCACAAAGAGGCTTGATACAACCCAAGTTTACCAAGTATCTGAAGAGAGAGCACGGGAACACACACTGCTCAGGATGTGGAATTCAATCTGTCATTGGGTTTGGACATTTAGCCTGCTCTGAGCTCTCTGGAGAGGGAGGGGGAAGCAGACTGGATTTGCTTCTCCTGATGCAGAAGGAAGCTGCAATTCCCAGCTCAGGGCAGGATCCAGATCCAGCTCTGCCCCAGGTACCCTCCCAGAGGTTCTCCACATCACCCCCTTGGCCTTGTCTCACCGGTCCCACAAAGATAAAGCTTCCATACACTGACAGCTGTCCCCCAGGAGGAGCCACAGGGAATACCTGATCTGCTCAGGGGTTCCTCCTGACGTCGCGCTGGTGATAGCCCACGCTGCCTCCTTCCTCGTGCGGAATTCTGCTTTCTGCAAGATCTCTATCAGGACTGGGAAGATGTTTGCACCTATGACTGCCTGGGGAGAGAGCAGCGAGAAGGGCTTGAGTTGGCAACGTGAGAGAAACCTCCACCTCCATTTGTCAATGCAAAAGAGCTTTCCAAGCTGTGCTCTTCAGCAATTCCTCAGCCAAATCCTATTACCACAAGACAGTCGGTCCCACAACCAGCCCACAGCAGACAACCCCTATTACTGCAGCAGTATTGTAGCAGCGCTCCCATCACTCATCTGCCTTTATGTAGGGCATGAAAAGGATAAATTACAACTCAACAAGATCCAGCTTTTCAGAGGGGTACCTCTAACAGAGCAGGGAGATGCAGGGGCTGAATCTGCTCCTGCTCCAATGATCCAACCTGTGGCACTCATTTCAGGCCAGTCTTTGTTGGAACCATTAAAAGCTTTTCTTAGCTCTGTTGGCAGAAAGCAAAGACAGGAGACTACAGCTCTCAACCTGCTTCAGACCCTCCTATGTCATCACTGCTCTGAAGTCAGCTACAGCACCCACTACCTGGATCCTAAGCACACAAGAAGTGTGAAGGGTGCTCTGATGGGCTTTGACATGAACTGAGGTTCAGGCACACGCTTCCCATTCTCACTGGGCTGAAGCAGCAAGACAAGATACACACATTAAGAGCTCCACCAGTTGCCGACACACTCCCGAGTCAATAACTGCTTGGATTTTCTCATTGGGACCATCTGATAGGTAGGAAAGAGCCCAGCAGGCATCTGCCAGCAGGTCAGAGTCACTGTTGAACAACAACCGGACAACACTGGCAGGCAGGGAGACACCTACAACAACAGCCACCACCCCAGGTTAGTCACACTGTGGCCAGGACCACCACGTTTGCATGCAAAGCACCACGTGCTTGTGCTGACCAGCAAGATAACAAGGCTTGGATGTCCACTGTTTCCTCTCCTAGAGTCAGCAGCTTCCTTGTTAGTTCACACAGCTTATCATCAGGGTCTGAAGTTACTTCAGCAGTGTTATTGCTAAAGTGAAATTACATCCCTTCCTCTAGGACCAAGTCTGGACTCCTGGGATAAGCGCTACCGTGCAGGCTACCATTTGGAAGCTCCTTACACATCTTGTGGAAGAGCACTGCTCAAGTTCTTATTCCTGATAACCCCAAATAGCTCTGTATTCAGAGCAGCAACCACCAACAGCTCCACCTCTGAGTACTTTGATCATTTCTAAGTGATTTTATATGACACTCCATTGAGATTTCATCCCAAGGTGAGAGATGGAATCTGAACAGAGTGTCAGCTCTCAGGCTTTGAGGGTGAAAACATTGATCTGAATGGTTTTCTTCTACCAAAGAAGGATGAGACAGCTGAAAAGCCAGCAGACCCTTTTGTTAGTGCCAGCAGCACACCAGGAAAGGGGGAAAGCTCCCACCGCCCCAGGAGTCCTGTTTTGTAGCATTTAAAGGTCTCAGAATCAAGTTTTCAGTCACAATTTGAGTGAAGTCTCAACATTCCAGTGTGGATTAAAAAGGTTTAGGGAAGCCCACAGCATAGGCTGCCTCACAGGGAAACCCGTGCCTGCCCCTTCCTCGAGGGCTCCAGCTGATGGGCTGCCACCGGAGCTGGGCAGAAAATGAATGGGTACATAAGCACCTGCTGAGCAGCAGGATGAGTCTCAGCAGGGAGAACCTCACCCTCATCCCTCCCAGAGTGACTTAGAGAAGTCCAGCAGTCAAAAAGAATTGAGACAACCATGGACCCTGGGTGTCTCCCCATCCCCTCTCTGCCAACAAAGCATTTCCTCTCACCTTATCAAATTCAGGTGGTGGACTCTTTCCTCTGCACAAGTTTGACAAGGCCCAGACAGCATTTCGTCTCATTGTCAACCTGGTGGACTTCGTAAGGAGCCTAAAGAGACAAGTACAGGAATTATCATCCTTCATGTGGAAGCCAGCAAGGGAATCAAGAGGAAAAGAACCAGTGTGATTTTAAGGAAGTCGAACCATCAGCAACTGGATTGGCAAGTATTCATGGCTACTCACATTAATAAGGGAGGAAGAATAGCGCAGTTAAGGACATAATCTCTACACAGAGAGCTGTCTCCAGCAATGTTCCCCAATGCCCAGACAGCCTGAAAGGAAACAGCAACAGTTTTAGGATTCACACAGTTTCTGAACAGAGCAAGAAGAGGGCAGTGTGCTACGAAAGCATTTCCCTGTAATTCCAGGCAAGCTGGAACTGAAGCCAGTTCTTAGACACTGGCCACGCAGCTTTAACACCACATTTTCATCACAGGCAACCCCACTGTGGTTCTCTCCCTAACCCCAAAGTAAGAAGTGAACCTTACCTGTTCTTGAACATCCTCAAAGTCAGAGTTTAGCAGCTCTATGAATATAGGAACTGCCCCAGCTTCAATTACTATTTTTGTTTGTTGGGAAGTTCCTGATGCAATATTCTCATATGGCTCAACTATGGTATTTTTGCCAGCATTCTTCCAAGAATTCAATTCAGAGCCATTTATTTCATTTCTTGCCTAAGCATTACAGGCTCCCTTTGCCTTCTCCCATCCATCACAGAGCCTGCACCTTTCAGGTTCAAGACACCACTCTTCCCTGATAGCCCCTGTGGGTTCGGGTTGCTGAGCTGTGAAGGTTCCACAGCTCCCTGCCACGATGATTCCCCAGCAGCATCTCCTTTACCTGTAGCGTGCAGTTCTCACTCCTCTTCAGGAATCCCACAAATCTGTCCACCACTCCTTGAGTGTTTATCACTTCATCTATTGGACGATTCGGCTCTGGAACAGCAGAACAGTGTCAAAAGAGCACACAGGTCTACCAGGGGATGAGCTGTCACTGAATGATCCCAACCTGTACCAAACCCAGCAGGACAACTCTCCACAATCACTTTCTGTGTAATTCATACAACCAGAAATCATTACAATGTACCAAATTCCAGCTTTCTTCCCCCCAGGCTCCAGGTGAGTAAACTGGTGAGTAAACTGGTGTAAGTGTGGGGGATCCCGAGTGCAAGTGGTTTGTGTTTGTGTGACTGAGACGTAGCGTAGCTACGAAGCGAGTGCGGAGTCCCGATCCGCAGTTCCGTGTCCTCCGCGAGGAGAGCGGGCGGGGACGGACAAAGTGTCTTCTGTGTTGTGTCTAAATGTTTGTGTGCGAATATGTCTGTGGTTAGTGTTAAAGATTACAGTGCTTAAGCGGTGGGGGAGCAGTAGACAAGAGTAAACTGTTGCTGTTGGGGGTGTGCGTTAAGAAGAGTTCCCTCTGCGCCCCAGTGGCTGTATAACAGAAGTATAGCCTCTAATGTCTATAATCCTACTCTTGAGACCTGAACTTTACACTCGGTACCAGAGGCTTGTAGCCTCACATATGGGTGCATAATAACTTTTGAATAGGGAACCTGCCCTGGACACTAGGACAGTGTAAATTTTGATGGAACCGAAACTGTGATCTAACAACAGGGGAGTTGATCTGCAGAGCCCAAAGGTATCATTTTACTGAACCCCCTGAGAATGTCATAAAATTCGTGTGTAGGTGCTCTCATATTTTTCAAGTGCATTTGCAGAGCACTGGGAAAGAGAAGCTGCAGAGATTTGTAAAAGATTGTTTGAAATGGGAGCCGGTCAAAACAAGGGAATTCTGAAGAAAAGCCCATTGGGTTACATTTTGGCACACTGGAAAGAACTGGGAGGGTCTTCTGGGGGCTCGGTAAACAAGAAAACATTGATAAAATATTGGAACCAATGGTGGCCTTTATATGCTTTGGAAGATCAGGAGAAATGGCCTAAAAATGGAACTCTGAATTATAATACATTGTTACAATGAATGTTGGTTTTGAGGTTGCCAGGAAAATGGGATTAAGTGCTGTATACAGATATGTTTTTCACTGTGGGAGATCACCCGGAGTGGCAGGCAGAATGTGAAATTAATATAGCTCTGCCAGATCCCTAATTCTGGCTCTGGAAAAGGACAAGGAAAAACTGGAAGCTAAGCTGGAGAGATGTTGTTCGGCCTGGGATATTGGGGAATGATGATTGAAAGTTATAAATAGGAAAATGATGTATCACATACCTCTGAGAGGAGCACCCTCTGTATCTGTCCTATCAGATATTGATAAGGAGGAGGAGATTGCTGTCACCTGCGACAAGCAGCACATTCACATTCAGAGTTAAGAAAGGGTTAAACTGGAAGTGCTGCTGCAGCGGCAGGCATCTGAAACCTCTGCAGAGCAGGGGGAGCAACTGTGAGGAAAAAAAAAGGAAACCAAGTGGAAAGGAGGGGAGCTCGCGCAGCTCCTGTGTTTGAGCACGGGATGGGTGCTGGGGCAGGTAAACAAGTGGGAACAGACATGTTGACAGACGGGACTGAGGGGTTGTTGAATAAATGTGGACAGAAGTGCTTTGAAACTGATGGAGGAGGAATGTCGGGCAAAGGTGGGGGAAGTGGATTCTTCTCCTATGGGACCAGATCGGTGTGTGTGTGCTGTGGGGAGTTTTGAACGTTGGAAGTGAGACTGCCCTGTGGGGAGAGAGTGCCATGGGGTGGCTCCGGTGGCTGAATTGGAACTAGGCTGACAAGGGACCTAGGGAATCCTCCCTAGCGGATCCACTGGTTACATTAAAACTATGGACTAGAGGAAATAAAGTGGAATTTTTAGTAGACACCAGGGCAACATATTCGGCTTCGAATAAGGCATTGATACCTGTAGGGGGAGACTATGTTACTGTAAAAGGGGCAACTGGCCAAAGTGAAAAGGCATATTTTTGTAAGCCACTGAAATATCAATTGGGAAAGCAATGGGACATTCATAAATTTTTATATATGCCTAATGCCCCAAAGGCTCTCCTGGGGAGAGATTTGTTGGAACAACTGGGGTCACTATTACCTTCAAAGAAGGCGAGATCACCTTGAAAGTAAAGGATCAACAATACATAGAAATGTTAAGCTTAGAACTGATCACACACCAGACAGAAGAGAAGGTTAGGGAAGATATATTTGATCAAGTATTCCCGGGAGTATGGGCTACAAACATAGCCGGGAAAGCCAGAAATGCACCCCTGATACAGATTAAGCTCAAGGAGGGAAAACAACCAGTCAGGATTAAACAATACCCTCTAAGAAAAGAAGATAGGGAGGGAATTTGTCCAACAGTTGAAAACTTTTTACAGTTAGGATTATTAAAAGAATGTCAATCTGATTTTAATACTCCTATCTTACCAGTCTGTAAGCCTGATGGATCATATCGGGTGGTACAGGACTTGAGAGCTGTCAACAAGATCACTGAAGATCTTTACCCAGTGGTAGCAAATCCATACACTTTACTGACTTGCTTAATTCCAGAACTAACTTGGTTTACTGTTTTAGATCTAAAAGATGCCTTCTTTTGCCTCCCTCTCCATGAAGCCAGTCAGAAAATTTTTGCATTTGAATGGGAAAACCCCAAAAGTGGACGCAAAACTCAGCTCACATGGACGGTGCTGCCTCAGGGATTTAAGAACAGTCCCACTTTGTTTGAAGAACAACTTGCCAAAGACTTGGAATCTTGGGAAGCCCCACCAGAGGAAGGAAAAGTATGTGGACGACATCCTAATTGCCACCCGGACAGAAGAAACTTGTGTGGCTTGGACGGTAAGCCTCTTAAATTTCTTGGGCCTCCAGGGATATCTCATACAATGTCTGCCGTACTGGAAGTAAAAGGTGGACACTGACTTTCTCCTCAGAGATTTCTGAAGTATCAATCCATCATGATAGAGCAGGATGATGTTGAGATTGTGGTAACTAACATTATCAATCCAGCCTCTTTCCTCAGTGGTAATGAAGGAGAACCTGTACACCATGATTGCCTGGAAACCATTGAGGCTGCATATTCTAGTCGCCCAGATTTGAGGGATACCCCTTTGGATAACACAGAAACCTGGTTCACGGGAGCAGTTATGTCATCAGCAGAAAACGATATGCTGGATATGCAGTTACCACCTGCAGAGAGGTAACAGAATCTGGACCTTTGCCTATAAACACTTCTGCACAGGAAGCGGAATTGATTGCTCTGACCAGAGCCCTGGAATTGAACTGTAAACATCTACACAGACTCCAAATATGCATTCGGAGTTGTACATGTGCATGGTGCTATTTGGAAGGAGAGAGGACTGTTAAATTCACAAGGGAAAAACATCAAACATGCACAGGAAGTATTGAGACTATTGAAAGCAGTCCAATTGCCTGAGAAGGTGGCAATTATGCACATCAAGGCACACCAGAAGGTGAGCTCTGAATTAGAAGAAGGAAATGAGCTGGCGGACAGAGAGGCAAAAGAAGCAGCAGAAGGTGAGGTACCAACTGAAGGAGCATTGATCCCTGATGGGAAAGTTTCCTTAGAAGGTAAGCCAAATTATAATAAGGAAGATCAAAAATTGATTGCAGATCCAAATGGAATATTCAGTGAAGAAGGGTGGGCCAGCACACCACAAGGAAGGGTAATTGTTCCCTTATCAATGTTATGGTCTTTAGTAAAGAATGAACATCAGAAAACACACTGGGGAGCCGAGACCTTACATAAACATTTAATAGGCAAGATTAGGGCTAGAAAGTTATATGCCACCATTCAACAGGTAACTAGCCAGTGTGATCTTTGCCTTAGGACAAATCCCAAAATTATACCCAAGCTCAAAATGGGTCAAACTGGAAAGGGTAATGGACCAGGACAGCAATGGCAGATCGATTTCACGGAACTGCCGAGAAAAGGGGGGTACAGATACTTGTTAGTATTAACAGACACCTTTTCAGGTTGGCCAGAAGCCTTTCCAACTAGGAGTGCAAAGGCACGAGAAGTGACCAAAATATTGTTACAGGAGATAATACCACGCTTTGGAGTTCCAGCCATAATATCTTCAGACAGAGGGCCACATTTTATTTCAAATGTGGTACAGCAAGTAAGCAAATATCTTGAAATTGATTGGCAACTTCATATCCCTTATCATCCACAATCAAGTGGACAAGTAGAAAAGATAAATCATTTAATCAAACAACAAATTGTGAAATTGGGCCAGGAGGCCAGGCTACCTTGGCCCCAGTCCCTTCCATTGGCCTTGTTGAGAATTCGAACTAAACCAAGAGCACGAGAAGGACTGAGTCCTTTCGAAATTTTATATGGAAGGCCATATGGGGTTCAACAGGGAATGTCTCCCCAAGCGGGAGAAGAAACCATGAACACCTATATAATAGAGTTAGGAAAGCAGCTTACTAGAATTGAAAAACATGTGGCTGGAACTCGAAGCAGAGGGTTGGACAGCTCGGTACACAATATACAGCCTGGAGATTATGTGTATGTAAAGTCTTTCAAACCTACAGGAGATGATGATCTCGAGCCAAGGTGGAAAGGGCCATTCCAGGTGTTGTTAACTACATTCACAGCTATCAAGATTAAGGAACAGAACACCTGGATTCATCATACTCGAGTTAAGAAAGCCCCGAAGACACCCTGGAGAGCGATCCAAACTGAAAATGAACTGAAACTAAAGCTAATTCGTAACAAGTAACACTGCAAATTGATAAGACTGTATTGATGATATTTTTAACCTTCTTGTTTAAAGCTTTAATACTTTTCTCTTGTTTGCAATTATAACCAGCGAGAGGTCGAAGAATGATGAAAATAATTACAGGATTAACTGTGATTCTAGGGGTCACACAAAGTCTTGACAAAATGTTACCACTATTAGGAACAGAGACAAATGTTTAGCTTACTTGGGCAAATAGAACTGGTGTTACTGATTTTTGTTTATCA